ATTCCATCTTCCCCTACCATCGACGTTGGCATCTGGTGGACTTTCCATGCTGACACGTCTTTGTTTAGCCTCATCATTTGTGCAGTCTTTGCGTTATGCCTTGGACACCCTGGGCTTCTGTTTGGCAAGCCTAAGGCTTCGAACGGTGTGAGAAAGGAGTCGAGTGTAGAGAGCGGCACCGAGAGTGCCGCGGCGGAGGTGGAGCGCAAGTGATTTCAGATACCATTCTGCAGAGCGGGACTCGATTTAGCAGTGTATTTTCTCTTTGCGTTCTTCTTTCTTGTAAATGAGCGGACATCGAAGCGCAGCCCTGTTGCTCTCACCTTGGTTGGGTTTGACTTTCCGACGGCATTAGAAGCGGTATCAGTATGACATGAACACATAGACACGGCGATTAACGACACTAAAGAACATTGAATCATATCCTATAAGATCAGCATATGAACCAGCCCTCTGCATTGAAAACGCCTTGTGCAGTAACGTAGTCGTCAGCAAGCTTACGAAACAGTACAATGTCAACGGCCAAGCGCCTTCTCCTAGTTCGTGTCGTCGGGCCGGTTTACTGTCCCTATTTAAGAGCAGATGGTTCTCGCTGCCCATCGCTGCGGTCTTTTACTTACCATAAAGCCGTAGCGGATTCTTGCATCGGGGTCGCCTGTATCACCGGCTGTGCGGTCTTCAGTACCAGAGCCGGCGTCGTTGAAGGCCCTACAGATGATGGCATCTTATTCCCATCAATCATGTTCAGGCAGGATAGGAGCCCCCGTCCTACAATTCCCTTGTGGCCTGCATATTCCAAGAGGATTAAAGGTCAGAAAGGAATTGCTAATGGGAATCGATAGTTGATAGTCTGGCCGGCCCTGGAAAGTCGGTTTTCCGTAAGTTTTCTGCCATACTCTTCAGTGTCAGAGCGAGACGTCGAGCTTGAAACGTCCGACTTGACCATCGGAATAGTGGCTAATATGGAGGAGAGAAAAACATGGTAAAAGGACTATTTTTTACATAGCCATTGTTTCGTAAAGATCCTGATAGAAAACAAACGCATGCAGCTGACGGAACATTCAATCGACCTTTTGCCCGGAGCGCGCGATTCCAGCTATGACTGCTGGATGAGCAACATTCAAGGAGAACTCGCTCTTCGGGCTCATCCTTTTATCTTGAGCGAAAATCACCTGAGATCTATGTTATAGGAAGTAAATATACAGGGTCGAGTCTCTTGACTTCCTTGGGTCGGCGCTGTTACATCCCTCTCATTCCAGAAAGGGCACCAGGGTTCTATCCGCAGCTGTTTTTGTCTTTTTTTGTCGTCGAGTAGAACTCTTTACTATATCATGATTGCTACTCTCCCATTATCGACGAAGCTCAAATTTTCACAAGTAAGCTTTCAAATGCTCGCTAAACTAAGAGACCCCGCTGCACACATCTTGTCGGCGACGCTATTCACGGTAGCTATCCACGCTCTATAACGGGAAACCCGCTGCAAAGAAATAATATTAATGGCCGACTGAATATTTATCTATGACTTCATTGAGGCACCGGATGTAACCGGCGAAAACCCCCCTTTTGGCCTACTGTGCCTAAACCGGCTTTGAGAAGTTCTTTTCTCTCGTGTCGTTTGAGGGGCATCTCTAGCTCTATTGATACCTTACAATGCTCTTAATACTTCAGTAAGATCTCAGCGAGCCATAGGTATTGAATTTGCATCAGTGGTAGACAAATCGTGCCTTAAAGCACGACTAATACCTATTACTAATATTACTGCTTTCCACAACAAGAAAGATATTAATCTAACCACACCCTCCGTCAAATCTACTAGCTCATTCTTTTATGTATATATTTCAGAGAGTGACTGACTGAAAGCGAAATTAGTATGCTCTCAAGCTGAACCTTCTCTCACTCTCACGCCCTCCTCTCGTATGTCACGCTACGTTCGACTACGCTATCAATGGTACCCAGATTAGGACTGACACCTGATTCGGCACTTCTACCCATGTCCCTAATTTTTGGAAGATCCCAAAGTGTCTGCCGTCTTATAGCCTGCCCGATACTTAGTTGCTAGTTCGCTTAGGAGCCCGGCATAGTCTTGGGCCTTGAGAAGGATAAGAAGGACATCTCCACATCGAGTGCTCTACGTTGCACGGTCTCGACTACTTATATAATCGTGAGACCAAGCTAGAAAACGTATTTCGTAACTGTCCCATCCTCCTCGTTCATCTTCAGTTGGCTGCCTCGAGCTATCTAGAGCCATAGTTCTGGCCATTTATATACGTACGCCTCGCATGAGATATCGGACAAGCATCGAAACGGACAATCCAACCACAAGACTCCGTGCAAAATGAGTCTTGACAGAGAAATATTGACAGGTCGTAGAAGCTGAGAGGAAAGTCTTCCTTCCCGAGCCCAGGATACAGACTATCCGCTGATAACGCTTTGAACACGTTCCTCTCCGTTGACCACAATCCCCCTTCGTGGAGCACTCGTCTCCAGAACATTCAAACAAGACGGCAGGAGATTTCGGACAGGGATTTGATCGCCCTGCACTCCGTCTCTCGGGGTCTCCCCCGGAGCGGAATATGGAACAGGTGGCTTGCAAGCGGAGAACTTCACCCCGACACCAGGGTAAACAGCCCTGGATCCGGATACCTAGTTGTTGCGAAGGATACCTCAAAACTTATTTCCAACAATAGTCTGCCATCCCACTGACTTTGTCGGCCAAGATTCTGGCGACGAATACCCGTGTCAACAAGATGGTGCCACTTGCTTGGATCCCACTGATACATACTTCCATGCTTCTGCCGTTTGGAAAGCGCGATGGCTCTCGATAAAATGGTACGATAAGGAATGGCCCATTTCATGTCGTGCGCGCACGTCTGAAACCGTCGCAAGCCGTCAGTAAGAGGTATCCCTAGACACATGCTTGTGCTATAGGCCCTTACTTCACACTGGCTGACCATGTTCACACGTAACCGAGCGTCCCCCCCCCCCCCCCCCCCCCCCCCCCCCCCCCCCCCCCCCCCCCCCCCCCCCCCCCACCCACCCACCCACCCCCCATCAACACCCATGACCCCACAACCTATAACCCGCGACATGCTACCAAGGGCAGGGCCTCAATATGTAACCCCGCGGCCCCCCCCCCCCCCCCCCCCCCCCACATTCGTAGCATGGTCGGTCCCGTTCTTTAAAATGTCCCATGAACCTTTAGGAATCTGATGACTGAGCACACATGTTACCTGCGAGGTGAAGACGATGTAGTCGATTGCTATATTTGGCGCCCCGGCGACCTTCGTCTTGGTCCTTATCGTGAACAATGTAAAGGGGATATGGAAAGCACTACATCCAAAAAAAAACACAGCAGACAGCGCCACCGCCGCCATCTCAAAGCTCCATTACATGGGTAATTGTTCATATAGAATACGCAACAGACGGGAACCGCGGAAAGATGACAGCTGGCAAGGATCTCGATTTCTGGAAACCCCCAGTGTTCAACGCAGTAGATATGCCGTGCGGACTTGGGTCTAATATAAAAAGGATCACTCCACTGATTAAACAACGGAAGATGGCAGCCAAAGTTGCCGAGTTCTGCAAAACGCGAGATCATCCTACTTCTTTTATACCTGCAATCAGATGCCGACCGCCACTCACTCTCGGCCAAGCCAAGGATAAAAGACTACGCACTGTCTTCTGACCGATGAGACTACGTAAATGTGTCTTATTTCCATCAACAAGTGAAAAAGAGCGCCGGCGTGGTCGCGAAATCATTCCACGTTGTCCCGCACACAACAACACTATGCCTACATCAAGCAGTTCGAGATCTGGCAACGAGACACCGCTCACCAGAGCAACATGGGCCACCATGGCCTCACCACTCCAAGCGACACCGCCGTCCGCGGCATCTGAGCTGCAGAACCCCAGGGCAGCTTCCCTAGCTACCCGGAACATCTAAACTCTTCCTACAACCAACATGCCCCTACGTACCTCAAGATACTACCCGCTCGCAAAACACAACAACAGCAGTCAGCCCCTGGAACACCATCTATCCCATTGCCTTGAATCGCCTGTTCATCCTTGTGAACCTCACTACCAACCACCTCGTCGACCGCGCCAAGCCAAGCGCCGATCCCCGAGAAATTGAGATAACCCCACTCGAACCCCGTACCCGCGCCGAACGCGGACCCACCAAAACCTCCAGCAAGCCCCGCTCCCCCCTCACTCCCGCCTCCCCCGCACCGTCCCGCTCCGAGAACCAATCCACCACCCAACCCCGACCGACCGGCCGAAAGACAATTCATAACATCATCATCCCAGAAAGTCACATCCAACATCAACGAACCTCATCACAGCCAAATCCAAACCTTAGGTCACTTTTTTCATTAGGTATATCAATAGCGAATCAATGACGCAACTTCTTCGTTCATGCAGGCAAGAAAAAAAATTGTTTTTGGCTTCGCCGGCATTTCAGCTCAAGCTCAAGCTTTAGCTTCCAACAAAGGCAATAATAGCGCCCACAACGCCGTTTCCTCATGCTGTAGATTGTGCAGCTTCTTCCATGAAGCTAAGCTGACAATTCAGCTTGGGGTTGCAAAAAAAAAAAAAAAAAAAGTGTAACCATCCTTCCATCATGAGATGCGTACAAGTTTCGCCCAGCAATTACATCTCTCTGACAATAAATCAAGCTCTCCCTCCTCCATGCTCGAGAGAACCCGATCTGACAATGGGGATATATCCCAATCCCAACTTCATGCAGACATACCGAAGTATTCCCGTCCACTCCCCTCATCTCCCTGTTCTGAGCCATGATAATGGCGCGGTACTATCATCAACCCGTTTGCTGCGACGAAACATCATGCAAAAAGAAAGAAAAAAAAAGTTCCGACGCGGGACGCGGTCGACGATGAGCCGAACCGAAACGATGCAATGCAAGTCTCCCCAACATAAAACGCCTTTTTTTTTCACGAGCCCCCAAAACCCAAGATATCTCCATCCACCCCACCAACGGCGCGTCATGACGAAGTAGAAACGGAGGATGACGAACCCCTCGCCAAACTGAGCAGACTGCTCACGATACCACCCGAAACAGCACTCGTCGGCTCGTCTTCGTCGTTGCCAGCTTTGAGGTTATCCATATCGAGACGCGGCAGGACGCTGACCACGTTCCGAGATTCCTTCTCTTCCTGCACCTGTGGTGCCTGTGTCGTCGCCACTTCGGCCTCGGCGGACTCCTGCGAGTGCGCGGGCTCGTCCGTCTCAGTCTCCTCGACAACCTCCTCCTCGGCGTCCTTCTCGGGGGGGCCATCACGGCTTGACGGCGGCTGCACCATGACCCTCGGCAGAGCCCTCTCCGCCGTCTGCGTCTGCGTTTGCGTTTGCATCTTCGTCTCCTGCGGTTGCTGCCCCGGTCGCGGCTTCACCTCCAGCTTGTCAAGCGGCACGTTCTCCTGCCCTGTCTGGAGCTTGTAATTCGCGAGTCCGAGTTTCAGTCGAAGGATTCGAGCTTTCTATAAACCATCAAAGTCAGCGATCTTGTTTTTCCAAATGTCGATCCAAGATAATGATCCGGCATAACGAAGGATTAGAATTGGAATAAGAAAAGTCGTACCTGTCGCGCCTCCTCGCGGGTCAATAACCTCCTCGGCCTCGGCGGCGGCAGGGTCCTGGCCTGCTCTGCGTCTGGCTCGGTGAGGATGGTGGTGTTTTGGGACATGTCCATGGCCGAGGTGTCGAACACGGCCGACGTGTCTGCGGGGGACGCGGAGCGGGTTCGCGGTGTCTCGTGCCGCGACCCTTTCTGCTGTTGTTCTGGCAGCAGTTCGTTCTCGCCCTGCACCACCTCGGGTTCTAGTTGTTGTTCGCTTTGCTGGTTCTGCTCTTCTGATTGTTCGCTCTGGGTCTGTCAATGGCACGCGTATCAGTACACCAATTCCCAATGTACGTTGTCAATTGACTTCTTTTTGGGATATCTTCTCACCTCCGTGGCATCGGGATCAACGTCCATCTCCATCTCTGTCTGTGCGGGCGCCGGCGCGGGAGTCGATGCGGCCGCGGATGCAGATGGAATAGCAGGAACTGGTGATGTAGCTTCAGGTGCCAGTGCAACTTCTCGCGCAGGTGCAGCTACAGCTACGGGTGCAGCGGTGGTGGTAGTAGTAGTAGTAGCATTAGAAGCAGCGGCAAGAGCAGAGGCGGGCTCCTGACATTGCTTCTTCTTGGGAACAAGTGCGTTCTCGTCAAAGATGTCGACGGCGGCGGCGGCAAAGGACCTCTTGAGATTGAGAGACTTGACGGGGCTGCCGCTGCTGTTGCTCTTACGCGGCGATTGGGGCGCCGCCCCCAGCTTGGAGTGTTTGTGCAGCTTCGTGGGCGACGATATCGCGTTCACGTTCGCGTCCAGGGGCGCGAGGGCGCGTCTCTTTGCCGGCGATGAGGGGTCCATGACTTTTTTTTCTTTCTTTTTGGTGTTGCTGCTGTGTACGTGCAGTGTACTGTGTTTGTGTTGATGGGTTGGTAAAGACCGTGTTATGTGTATACCTGATGGTTCCTTTTTCCTCTTTCCTGCACCACCGTTGAAAGTTTGGAGGAAAGGGAGCTTTGGGGGGGGGGGGGGGGGAAGGGGAAGGGGGGGGAGGGGGGGGGGGGGGGGGGGGGGGGCCCGGGGGGGGGGGTGGGGGGGGGGGGGGGGGGGGCCGGGGGGGGTTTGGGGGGGGGGGGGGGGGGGGGGGGGGGGGGGGGGGGGGGGGGGGGGGGGGGGGAAAGGGAAAGGGAGGGAAGAGGACGTAGTTGGGGGTCTGGATCCTCGGAGTGGTTGATTGGAGGTTAGGTGGGTAGGTCACGGAGTAGTTTGACGGGATGGGAGAGAGCGTGTTGGTGTGGAGGAGGGTTGGAAAGAGGCAGAGTAAAGCACCTTAGCTGAAAAGCCCCAAGGTAATACCCAGTAAAGGTACACGCGGAGAGAGAGAGGAAGAGGGATACGGAGTAGAGAGTGAGAGAGAGAAAGAGAGAGAGGAAAAGGAAGAGGGAAGTTGCTATTCCCACGTAAATTGCCAATTTACAAAAAAAGCTCTCAAGCGAACTTCTCGGAGCGTGTTTCGTGGCGTGCCGTGGATGGAGCTGGGCGACGTGCAGTGCTGGGGGTGATGGGGATTCGGGGGGGGGGGAAAGGCACGCCCAAGAGAGCCCGTCCACGTCCAGTGTCAAGGTACCTCTGACCTCTGAGCCTAAACCCAACCCGACCTGGAACGAATGAAGAACGAACGGCTCCCGCCCGCGTGCAGCTGTAGCAACACAAGAATGCGGTACCTAACCCACTGAACGTAAGCCTCCGAGCCTCTGAGGTGCTTCCCTTCCCGCCCTCTGCCCGTGCGTTTTATTTTCTAAACAAAACAAATAACAGCAACAAACTGTTTGTTGACGTTTGACATTTTTGACGTCTGATGTTCCGGTACTCAACGTTACAAAAACCTTGGTTCCCCTTTGAGAACTTTAGGGAGAAGAGATGAAATTTCTCACAACCAAGGGGGGGGGGAAAGGGGAAAGGGAGCTGTCTAATGTGTGTTGGTCAGGTATTCCATGGACTACCTCAAGGTATGATAATGATCCAGTGTCACACACACACACAGACAAAGACGCGTAAAAGGGTGGTGCGGTGCACCTCTGACCGTTTGTCTGAGAAGGAATATGTAGGTAGAATGGTAGCGTCTCAGGGACCGCGTACCCGCGTTTAGTAGCGCACTTTTCCGGCTTCTTCACCGCATGAACATCACTATAAAATAGAAAGCAAACCTGGCAAAAAAAAAAAAGAAACAAGAAAGAGAGTAAAGAGAACCGCCCCAAAATCGCGGCCCGCTTCATCGCCCCCTGTCTGGTGGCTGGCATACTCAGTCGCGTACCCCTGCTGCGTCAAAAAAAGTCCAAAACCCGCCCGCGGCACGTCACTGCTTTCGTCGGGTCCCGTCACCTACCTACCTACCTTACCTTAACACGCTGCACCGCTGAGAGTTTCCAAAAGTCAGGGAACCTTACAGTGCATTGTAGCGCTCTTCAGGGGCGCTGGGGAAGGGGGGAGGGGGCGAGAACCTACAACTACCAACCATGTTCCAGACCGCGGCTTACATAAGTACACCACCCACCACCTGCGGTGCAGAAGAAGAGTAATTAGTCCCCAGAGGCGCGTTGCAACTTTTCCAGGTTGGCAAGGGTCCGCCTAGCCACCCGGTCGATCGCATCTGGCCTAGCGCTAACGAGACATGGAAATGCAGGTACCGGGGGACACGCACCCACGCACCGTTCAGGGTCCACGCCGCTGGGATCGACCTGACACCTCTTTCCCGCCCCAAAGAACCGACCCAAGGTACCTACGGATACCCTTCCCGTCAACTGTTAGTGAATTTGGGGTAATATCAACCACCACGCGTCGTTTAGCCTTGACATTGGCGCTTGACTGGCATGGGCGAGTCCTCCCTCCTCCCTCTTCTCATTCTCCACCTGTTTTCGACTCAAACGTGCTTGTTTGTAGCTTCAGCCTCTCAGGACACTCTCGGACATGGCAACATCTCACAATCACAGTCTCACGAGACGCTCGTTTGTAAACTCGGGTATCATTCCTCTCGCCCTTGCGAGAGTTGCGTTGACGCTTTCGTCCTCGCCAAGGAAACTAACTAAAACAATTCGGCCTCCCCTCCTCCGATACATACAACATGTAGAAGTAGCTGTCTCTCCAAATGAAATAATCTTCAAAAGACAGCAAAGAAAAGAGAAGTGAAATGTAATCATCTTCGTCGCATCCTCAAACCACCCAGGCAAACAACTTTCTCCGTATACCATCAAGAAAAAACCACAAACGCTCGAAAAGAGACCAGCCCAGAGCCTGCACACTGAGCCAGTCTGCAACTCTGCCGGAGGAACGCCGAACCCTTTGCTTTTCCCAATGCTAACCTTGCCCACCCATCCAATGAACCGGCTGGTCGTCATTCGTGGAACTCTCTCCCGGGGGTATCCAGCATCCGCTTCCCATCGTATTTGTCGGTCACTTTTTTTTTTCAATTTTTTTTAATCCTCTTTCAGCTTCCTCCTTGTCACTTTGCTCCTCGTCTGTATTCTTCACATCGACGACGAGACATCGAGTGAGTATAGGCTGTTGTCGAACTGGAACGGCTTGTTGAAGTCATTCGTCACTTCATCCCAGTTAGGGAACTGCTCCATCGGCGCCATCGCCTCCTCTAGCATCAGCCCCTCAAATTCGGCCCCGCCGTCAAGTCCGTCCATGTTGATGTTGTTCATATCAAGAAGCACGTCCATGTCGACTGGTTGCCAGTTGAGGTCTATGTCCAGGTGGACACCCTCTGAAATATCGCTGTTGGGCTCCGATGATCCACTGTCCTTGCTCGACTCGGGTGTATCGTTCGGTGTCTGTGACCGGTACACGGCCATGTCGCTGATGACGCCGTTGGCGCCGAGCTCGAACTTGCCGAGGTTGTTGAACAGGCTCTGTGGGTTGACCGTCGTTGCCCACGCGTCCATCGTCGGAGCCGGTGCCGCCGCCATCTCGGGCTGCTTGTGCTCCATCTTGGGAGTGTTGTCAGTCTTGCCAACCGCAAGCTTGTTGTCCTGTGCCTTCCCTCCCACCTTGCTGCCCGTACGCTGCATCGACGCATCTCGAGACATTGGCGTTGCATCCGGATTGCTGGCTGGTGTTTGGCCTTGTTTGGATGCGTTCTGGCCCATTGGCTGTGCAGTGACTGGCACCTGACCGTTGGCATCCAATCCCAAAGAGAGAGCCAAGTTTTCTTGCATGAACTTCATGGGATCCTCCAGAGGCTTGACATGCTCTTCTTGAATATGCGTCTGTCGCGCCTGCTCTGAAGGGAAGCCCGTTGTTGCCATCTCGCAGTCTGCCTCGGGGCACAAGAACATGGGTTTTGGCGGCGCCTTGGGTTCGGGCATGGCCTGCCTCTTGAGTTCCGGGGAACCAGACTTGCTGATCTGGGGCGACGGGGTTGTCTGGCTCGGCTGCTGGGGCGGCGTCGGTTGCGCCCCAGTCTTGGCCTTCTTTCGCGGGTTGGGCAATTTCAGGTTGTCCCTGTTCACCTTTGGCCTGTCCATGTAAGTAGGATCGCCATGCGGAGAGGTTGCGTTGAACGGGAATGGAGGCTGGCTCGTCGTTGGTGCAGCTGGGGGGGCCCCGCTCTTGCTGTTGGACCGCTGGTGCATATTGTTCAAAGCCTTGGTCTGCTTCTCCAAGTTGGCCGCACTCAATGGCGTCACCTGCCCGCTTTGAGCAGGAGTAGCACCGGCCTGGTTCGGCGCTGCGGGTTGGCCTTGCTGTGGTGGCACGGCACCGGCTTTCTTGCCGAGGGAGGCACAGTCGCGCGCCATGCTCTCGAGGAGTCGACGAACCTCGTCAATCTCGGCGGGCCTGACACTGAAGACTGGCTTCGGGTTCATCATGTGTTCACCGTCGGTGAACTGTCTGATCATACGGAGTCGCTAGATCATGTTAGTAAATTGTCAACGTCCAGTAACGCGCATGATTGTCCACTTACAGCTCGGAAATAGCTCTTGGCGCGCTGATCATCACGAGTTGCGGCATACCAGCGTCCCAGGGCCTTTCCAATCTTGCCCATGTCGACCACGATCTTCATGAGCTTGGTGCAAGTCTCTGTACGCTGCTCTGGTGACATGGGGATATCAGGCATATGCTCCGTCATCATCAACCTCTGCTCTTCTTGACCGATGCGCCTGAGCTTGTCAAAGTCGTTCTCCGTAGGTGCAATGCCCGAGCTTGCAGCTTGCATGGCCTGTTGACGACTCTTCATTGCCTCGTACTTGGCCCTCTGCTCGGGATTCATGGCCGCAATTTGCTCTGGGGTAAAGTTCGGGAACGGGCGCATCTGGCCTGGTTGGGCAGTCGGCCTCTGAGGCTGCTGAGATGCCTGAGGGACGTCGGCAGGCTCGTCAGTGCTAGGTCGCTTGAGGTTCTTCTGCTGCGTCGCAGGCGAGGGATTCGGAGGCTGTGCTTGGTTGCTCGAGGCCGGACGGTTGTTGTTGTTGTTGGTGTTGTTCTGTGGTGCCGCGGCGTTGGCAACAGCCTTCTGATCAGGAGTAGCGCTCTGCTGCTTCGGCGGTGCCGGTGGCGCTTGCGCGGGCGTCGGGGTGATATTTGCGGGTATACCGGGCTGTGGCATTTGAGGTGGTTGAGGTGCAGACACTGGGATGGTTGGTCCTCCCGGCGCCGGTAGCCCTTGTGATTGAGCCTGGCGCATGGCCATCTCTTTTTGCATCGCGGCAGCCATCTGCCGTTGCTTAATCTGGATGATGAACTGTCTCAGTTGATCGTCGGTAAGGCTAGCAATCTTGGGGTTCGCCTTGCGAGCGTTCATGATATCAGTTGGCGTCACCTGAATCATGTGAGCTGGAATACTCGGCATGCCAGGCGGCATGCCTGGTTGGTTGGGTGCCTGCGGATTCTGTACGCCGTTGCCGGGCTGCATCCCATTCTGTTGTGGCTGCGCTGGTCCTTGAGGTTGAGCTTGTTGAGGCGGCTGTGCGATTTGCTGTAGTTGAGCCTGTGGCGGGACCTGCTGAGGCGGCTGAGATTGTGGCGGTTGCGGTTGCTGCGTTTGTTGCTGCTGCGCTGCCGCCGCTGCTGCCTGCTGCTGATTGCGTTTCTCCATCTGCCTCTGCATGTAGGTCGCGAACTGCGATCTCTGAATTCTCTCGAGATGTTGTTGCAACTGTGGCTGTACGGGGTTTTGTGCAAGCCATTGTCGTAGGTCCTTCCACTTGCGTACCTCAGGAGGAGCGCGAAGCTGGTTTCCTACTTGCTGGAGGACTGGTGGCGGTAGCTCCATGCTGTCCATCATGACTTGGTGAGCCGGTGCTACAGGTGTTTGCTGGTTCCTCAATCGGTTCAACATCTGCTGTTGCTGGGCAATGAGTTGCTGCTGGTTGTTAGGAGCAGGAGCACCTGGTTGCGCTTGCTGAGGCATCATGCCGTTGTTCATGAACTGATTGCCATTGACAACGTTGAATTGTCCAAGTTGCCCTGGTCGACCCTGCATCTGGCCTGGGTTGCCCATAGCATTCATTTGCATCTTGCGCTGTTGCTCCTGCCACTTCTGCATGACTTCGTTCAGCTTGTCTGGTGGCAGACCGTGGACAGCCTGCCTTTGCTCGGGATTCATGCTTGCCATCATGCTGTGGAAAAGCGGGGTGTTGGTCATGTTCATGTTGCCCGCTGCGCCCATCGGCCGTTGGTTGCCCTGGTTGAAACGGGGGTCGAGAGTGCCAGCAAAGGGACCATTTGCCTGTTGCCCATTCTGGCCTTCCATGGGATTCATGGCACTCGGAGGACGGCGCATGGGGGTGTTCAGGGTGTTCATACCCGGGCTCTGGGATGGCGGTGCGCCACCGAGACCGTTCGGCTGCCCCTGTAATTGTCTGGCTTGCTGTTGAGCACGCATCTGTGCCGCGTGTTGCGACTGCTGTTGCTCAATTTTGAGTTGTTGCGCCTGCTGCATACTCAACTGTTGCTGAGCCTGGTTTGGTCGCGGTGTTTGATTCTGTCCAGGTTGATTAGGCATTCCCTGACCTTGACCCCCAGCGATGGGTTGCGGCGTGGCGTTGCGCGCTGGGCCGTTGCTCGCAGGTACGACCATCTGGCCTTGCTCCTGGGCTAGTATGCCCGCCTTTTGTTGGTTCATGATGCTCTCCATGGTGAACTGGCCAAAGTCCCCATTGCCAGACTGCATATTTGCCGCGTTCATCATCGCCGGGTTGATTTGTCCTCTGCCGGCTTGCATCATGGCTTGGGCTTGAGCAGGGTTCATGTTGGGCGGCATGCCGCCCTGTTGCTGTCGCTGCCTGGCCAGAGCGGCGTTTTTTGACAGGCCTTGGAAGGCCTGGTGCTGGAACCAGATCAAGACCGGATCCTTGCCTTGAGCGGTGTACTCCTGTGCCCTCTGTGCAAACCGGGTCTGCACAATATTGCGGTAGTGATTCTTCTGGGGATCGGGGCAGGCGGATGCCATTTTTTGGGCGAGTTCCATCACCTTTTGCTGATCGTGCGGTGTGAGGTTTGAGGCGTCGGTGGGAATGCCGTTTTGTGGTCGTCCTTGTCCACCGGGCATCTGGAACATCTGCTGGTTGGGCCCTATCGGTTGGCCACCTTGGTTTCCCATGTTTACACCCATCTGGCCCTGTTGAGGAATCTGCGACGCCTGCATCTGGTGCTGGAGATGCTGGAAGCCCTGCTGTTGGTTCTGGCCCATTCCTCGCCCCATCTGGTTCTGCATAGCCGCGTTTTGGTTCATCATGAGCTGTTGTTGAGCCTGTGCCGCAGCTTGGGCTTGGAGATTGCTGGTCATGGTCTGCTCGTTCGCCTGTCGTCGTCGGAAGAACTCGTTCGTCTTGTTGCTCATTTGGGCCTCGTATTGAGCCTACATCATCATGTTAGTGTTTCCCTAGTGGTGGAGAGACATCATGGCGAAACTTCTTCGCTCAAATTCTTACCTTATCTTGACACTTGTTGAAGGCATCGCGCTCGAAGTTTACGCCAACTTCTGCCGCCTTCATGAAATCTATGCTGGGCACGGCAAGGCCAATGTTTGTGATCCTGGAGAAAAACGTCGTGTCAGTCACGGCGCGACACAGGGCAAGTCAGAGGGTGAAAGTCGAACTCAACGTACAAGTTATGGCACTTGATCATGCGCTCCTGGATAGCCACGCCAGCTTGCCAGCCTGTGTGAGGCTGTTGCTGGGCGAGCATGGTCTGGTAAAGAAACTGGTTCAACTGAACCTGGGAGGGTCGGGGACGCGGCGGTTGCTGTTGCATCATTCCCGCCGCTCCCGCCATGTGTTGCATGTTCGCGGCCATGGCCGCTTTCCACGGGTTTTACACAAGTCTTCTACGGCAATTCGAGAACCGATCGTTTCGGTCGGCAATGGACCAGGGACCTTCGATCGACTGCTGTGATGAGGTCTGCGGTCCAGTGGTCGGAATGGTGGGAGAGAATTTTGATCGAGTTGAAAGGTCCAAAGCTTAGAAGTGTTGCTGGTCTGGTTTTGTTCTTAACAATGAGGCACGGAGCCGTTGACTGCCTGCAGGGTGCCTAACGACTTGCGACAGGCATGAAGGAGCTAGTCGGGTGCGGTAAGCGACGGGAAAGCCGGTGTTGCGCTCGTATGAGTTGTTGTGATGCCACGCAAAAATCCTGTTCGTCGTCGGTGGGCGTCCTGGAGTAGTGAGGAGGATGACGAGGCAAGTGTGGGTGGTAGTTCGGCGGTCTCGTCTCGTGTTTTTCGTTCACGCAGATTACGTGGAGTCGTCAAGGGACCCGAGCGCCTGGTTCAGCAACGACTTTGGATGTTGCGCCAGTCGCTGTGGCATGAGTTTGAGAAAGGAAGATGCAGACGACTCGACTGGAGAGAGGAGTGAAGAGCAAATGACCCGCGACGAGAGGTGGCTGTCGGTGGTGGGTTGTTGTGGTTTCGGTTGTGTCCGTCCAGGAGCGGCGGAAATTCCAGAGAGTGGAGGGTGGGCGTGGACAGCCGCAGGTCGAGACAAAGCGAGCCGGGGGTGGTCTGCGAAAACAGGACGGTACTGTGCGTAGCAAATTATGCAATACAAGCTTGTCGTCTCTGCAGGCGTCGCCAAATTCTGGATTGGTGAACAGCGGCGACGGGTACGACGAGAAGCTCACGAAGAAAAGAGGAAAAATCGACAACAACGACGGAGCGGCCGTGTGGAGTGTGTTGTAGGAAGAGAAAAAGAGGTGGAAGAGATGGCTGCTGCGAGAGATAGAGAGAGAGAGAGAGAGAGAGAAGAGGTGTGTGCGTGCGTGCGTGGTGCGTGTGGTGAGTGCAGTGAGCAATGGGTTACGGCAGAGGACGGGATCGTTGGGCGTGGTGGAGCCTCCTGGAGATGGGCTTTGCTCGCTCAGTGCCAGTTGATTTAGGTTCTGGTGGGCTCAGGATTGGCGCCCTTTTAAGCGTGGAGCCTATTTTTGCCTGTGGTCGACGGTCGACTAGGGTGGCTGAAACGACAACTGGACGAGGAGATGGAGGTGGGAAGCTGTCGTCGTAATCGCCCTATATCGCGAATAGACGCTCGTTCACATTTTTCTGGATTGAATCAGATGAGCAAGGTGAGAAAAGAGAAGAAGAGAAGGAGGGGATTCCAACCATTCTCCCAAAGAAGAGGGGCGACCAGGCGACTGACTGCTGAGAAGGAGGGCCCGGAGGAAGAGGAGGAGAGGTGGTGACAGAATACCTAGTCGTGTGTAGAGAAAGAAAGGGAGGGAGGGAGGACGTATCCGTAGCAAGGTGGACGAGGATGAGGTCGGAGGTCGGAGCAGGTAAGTAGGTGTATTCGTACGAATAGAATGGTAGTAGGTAAGGTAGGGCGAAGAGAGAGAGGAAGAGGGCGCTCGCAGTGAAGAAGCAGGTCTGGTGGTGGTGGTGGATGTGAGTGAGACTGTGAGAGTGACTGGAGACGAGGTGCCTGGCACCATGAGCGTGAGTACGTGGGTGGTGGTGGGAGACCAGACAGAGAGAAGAGAGGATGGGCTTGGATGGGGCCTGCAGGGCGGCGAGATGCGCAGGTGGAGAGGGGAGGGCGTGCGACGATGAGTGGACGACAGCGCGGATTGGTGAGAGATGATTGGACGAGAGCCTGTGAAGGAGGGGGTGTGGTGCTAATCTGGAAGTGGGGGGTGGGAGGTAGCTGTGGGAAAGAGCAGGGCAGCGCAGCAGGAGCAACAAGAGGCAAGCCGCAACAGCCAGGTACCGGTGAGCTTAGGAAGGTGCACGAGGTACCTTGCCTCACTTCACGTGCAAGGGTCGTCACCACCTCAGGTACCTGAAGTTGGCGAGGGAGAGACGGGAGTTTCTGCTGGACGTAATTCTGTTGTTCTCTTCCCATTTTTCAATTGATAAAAGTAGGCCAGATGTTGATTCCGTATAAGTCTCTATCCGTATCTGTGCTTTGAATACTTGAACAAGGTTGCGGCCGTTCGTCCCGGCAAGAGAGAGAATGGTCTTGGTCATGAGGGCCGGGCATTCGGTGTAAGTTGAACTTGAGGTGAGGGCCGGGTGGGCAGCGAGCCCGTACCCTTGGGCAGTAAGGTAGGAAAGGTACCTTGGGACGAAAAGGTACACACTTGACACTTCGCACCAGGGCAAGCGCTGCACAGCAATACCGGCATGCAAAAGACAGGGCAGCCGCCGCAGCCCATCCTTTTTTTTTTTTGCGGTCCTTCACAACCTGCCAACCAGTGCGCGCCTGCTCGCCAACACCGACTGCATTGGCATCAGGATATGGACTGGACTGTGAGGTGCAATAGAGACTGGCATTGGAAGACTGGGGAGGGGGGATAAACATGGACGAGGAAAGACGGGCAAGGTACGGAGTACCTTTCTACATAGTATGTACTGCGTAGGTATCCATCCGTATAGAGGTAGGGGGGAAGGAAGGAAGGAAGGGAAGGGAAGGGAAGCCAGGCGGGCTAAAGTGGGCACCTGGCGAAAATGGGGGACCCTCTTCCTTCCTTCCTTTCCTTTTCTTTCCTTTGCGCAGTTGGTGATTTTTTATTTCATTATTCTACCTATCCAATACTTTATTTCATTTCTCATGTGGTTCCTGGCTTCCCGCCCTCGGGCCTTAGGAAAGACTACCTCAGTCTGTACCTCATCTACCTCACATATTCGCGAAATCTAATACTCTTTTGCACTCTGGCACTCTGAGAGGGGAAAACCAGACCAGACAGGCAGGGCAGGGACTGGGACGTGGATTGTGAGAGGGGAGGGGGGCTGATGTGGTATTAGTGACAGGGGGGTGCGGTCAAGATACCTTGGACACACGACGCACATTCTCCGTCTGCCTCCATCTCTCACTCCCCGTTGCCCATACTGTGTAATGCCACCAGCAAGCAGCCCTCTCTGCCACTCTATCCGTACCATTTCTTACTCATTCTCCGAGTTCCTATTGCACATCGTCTGAACCTGGTTTGAAGCCCTATATTCTCGCAGCGACATCTCCAGTGGTTGAGACTGATGCGAAAAAAAAAAAAGAGACCCAGCATTTGTCAACATGCACCAGTCTATCAGCGCAGCGGTGTAGGAAGCGGTCAACAATGGTCCGCGATACTCTTGACTGTATGTGTATCATGGGTGCTAACACGACACAACCTGGTAGCCAACTCTAGACTCTGTGTGTACTTCGTACCTCGAGCCCAGGCCGTCCGGGTAAGCCTTTGACATCCAGCCAGAACCGATATCTACCATGTACACCTAAACACCTTATTGCGTACACAAACTGCCCAAGGTATGTCTCCGTACCACATACACCTATCCAAGGCGCATCAGAATAACGCTCCGGGAACGAACGACGTTGACGAACGACATGGTGCGAGTGTGGTGGTGTCCTCGCCTCATCTGCTTCATCTAACCTTTGGAGAGCTTCTTTCACTCCATGCCAACCGACGACGGTACAAAGTACAGACAGACCGAAGGGGTCAGTGCCGGGGGGCCAGGGTCAGAGCCAACCTCGATACCGGACCCCGTATGTCTGATGTACCCTGCCTTGGCCTTGCCTTGGCCGTCTTCTACTTCTGTCTGCCCCCCTCCGAGGCCATTCCAAAAGGTTTCCAGCTTCGGGGGCGGTCATGATTACTCACGAATATACGGATAGAGTACCGAGGACGGAGTACTGCTGTTCATCTCCCTCCAGATGCTAAGCCTGGATGAGCCACGTACCGGATACCCACCATCAATTCACCAGACTGTTATGCCACATTGCGATGCGACGATCACCATGAGCTCTCTCCAGCAGATCGTGGAGGAGCAAATCCCATGGCCATAGCCATCTCTCAAAAACCCCCCAGTCACGCGTCTCGCTCGCCAGTGATTTACCTACATCACCCGGTGAGCAGGGCAAGGCAAGCCGGTAAGGACCGGCAAGGCTACGCCACCATCCACGGCACCTCGTCTGTTCCCAGTTACCAGGGACCTGCCCCGGGCAATCCGTGATGCGAGAGGCAAAGGAATGTAGAGGAATTTCGACGTCCCCAATTCTTCATCTCGGTCTTCGTACGAAGAACCAGTTAGTAGCTGGGCCATTCCTAGTTACCTAGTACCAACAGACCCTTTCTACATTCCATCTCATTTCTGCGCCGGGTTCTCTGAGGTGGTCGTCGACTTTCTGCAGCTTCCAATGGTTACGCCGCGCATTCTTGAAGCCTGGCAGAATCAACACTCGGTCCGTCGATACAATCCAATGTCTCTCCCGAGTCCAGCCATGGCAAGACATTGGCCCATTGGCGAGTTCCTCCCACCCTAACAAAGTGCGAACGGATACATAGGCGGCCTGCCCCGGAATAGTGTTGGAATAGATGCAGGCCAACCGTCAACCTTTTTCCTAGACCGAGCCTCGTTTGTCTTTGCCTCATTTCTTCTTATCCCCTTCCCTCTCGTCTTGCTTCCCAGGTGGGCAAGTAAGTTTTCATTCCTGTTCCTTTTCCTGCTTCCGATTACCAGTTGAACCATTCTGCCGTCAAACTCTTGTCATTCCTATTCGCCCGTCGTCTTGTCTCCCACAGATCCTCACGACCCAGCAACATGGTCCTCAAGTCCGAGTCCTTCCCGCCCACGCATTCCCCAATTCGCGTTTCGGCGCTTCGTTGCTTTATTCTTCTTGTCCCCGTCACACTGGTGTCCCTGCTCCTGTCAGGTACACCTGATGGGAGACAAAGCCGAGGTGCCTACTGAGAAGAAGGAGCTGCAAATACAACAACGTAGCAGGGGATATTTGCCCTTGCATTGATGCTTTGCATATCCGTACTGTACAGACTACAGACTACGCAGTACAGACCAGAGGTCATTGGCGAGGAAGAATCTTGACCGCAAGCCGGTACTTTGCGCACTAGAGAACCTCACATGGCGTCTGTAGCAGGGGGAAAGCCATGCAAAAATTGATTCGCGGTGTGTGTAGCGTCTCATTGTGGTCAGGAAGGGCACGCCCACCTAGCAGAGACGGAACGGGACCCTCTCAAAGAACCGGAACGCAAACCACACAGACTGAGAGAGGAAAGAGAGAGACAGAGAGGGAGACAGAGAGAAAAAGCTCGAGGCTCACGGCTCGTGGCTCAAGTTGCTGCTTTTTCCCCCCAACACGCTGCACAAAGTACTCCAGGGTGATCCTTGTCTAGTTCGATTGCACACATGGGCGCTAGACCTGAAATGATCAAGCCGTGACGGCCTGCTTCTCACAAGGTGGGAGGAGGTACCTGAGCTTGTGCCAAGTGACCGCGGCGGTATGGAGACGTGACCTGGCGGTGTATCTGCTGGCAATCCCGTACTTGTTTTTTTTGAAAAGTGTCATCTAGCTTCTACCAGAGGCGACCAAAAAAAAAAGGCAGTGTGCGAGTTGGAGATGCGTTGAACGTTGGAACTTCAACGGGGAGGCCCAAGACGACGGGTAAGCCGCAAGACCAGGACCAGGACCAGGACCAGGACCAGGACCAGGACCAGGACCAAGGAATGGACGTTGGTATTAGGCTCATCCACATCGATCCATCTCAATATGAGGAAAGCGTTGCAGCGAAACGGGACGAAGTACATGCGTGCCGGGAGGAGAAAATAACAAGGGCGCGGAGGCACGGATGCACGGGGCCACGAGCACCCTGCGAGTCCCAGATTTCAGTCAAGCTATGTATCCTTAGTGCCCACCCACCACTGCCACATTGTCCACCTCTGCAGACTACTGTCTGGCATCGAGAATATACCACAGTACGAATCATTGTATTCGTACAGAGACGCAATAGAGACGTCCCAACTGACCAGTTCGCGACTGACAAAGTCAAGTAGGTAGATTGGCGCCACCCGGGTTTGCGACGCCGCGTCTCCAGCCTCGACAGGAACCCGTCAGCCTAACATGTTGATTCTCAAGTCTACGGACGATGCTCCGTCCAGCCATCCCCAACCAACCCCGGACGACATGTCTCCCGCGGCTCCGAACCGGGGTCCAGATGGGCTTTGTTCGGGGCCACAGCATCGAGGCCTGGGTATCACGGTTCCAATCTGGTCTCGTAAGTTCACTGTTTACCTGCAGCAGGTGTTGAGAAATGTGCCGGTGGGCAGGGCATGATCAGACACCAGGATGTTTGCATGTCGCAGACTCGCAGTTGGCCCTATTGCCCTACACTACGGATCGTTCACCGAGTAAGTTGATCTCGGGGTGTAGCAAAGATCATCCGCCTTATCATGTCTCGAGTCACAGTCACACACTACTCACTGCAACAAGGCCAGCCAGATGCATACCGTCTCCATCTTCTCCTCTCTCTCTCTCTCTCTCTCTCTCTCTCTCTCTCTCTGTGTGTCTCTCTCTCATTCATATTTTGTGACTAAACTTGCCCACCATGATCGATCGGGGATCCGGCCGGGCCCTGGGAGACCATCATGGTCCATGTCAGGTTTCCTCGACGACGGTCCGCACTCCGTACCCTTCATTCCTCCTCCATTCGCGGGCACTCTGGGGTTGGCGCAGGCCGTGCACCTTACTCACCACATACTGCATCTGAGAGTGCCTGCCCCCAAAGAAACGAAAATCGACAACCACACTCACCTCAGAGCAGGCAGACCCGAGTGAACACACAGGGTCAGCGTTTGGGTGTTTGGAAGGGGGGGGAAAGTAAAGGGACCCTTCAAAGGCAACGGCTGGGGCTATCATCTGAACGAGGGGGACGGCCATTAGATTGGGGCCTTGCGCGCGACGACGCTTTTACTACGAAACCTTGTGCCAAAATAAGGTGCTTCACTCTCTCTCAATGCGGCGAGATGAGCACAAGCAAAAGTGTCACACAAAAGTATGAGAGATTGCGCATCTCACCACACTGCATCAGTTGAGCAGTATGAGCCTCAGAGAAACGTCGCAGAGATATAAGGTGATTGACTGCTGGGGTTTGGTGGTCTTGGTGATGGTGGATGACTAACGAGCAGTCAGTCCCGGGTGTTAGCTGGATCAGAGAGAGATGCAAGAGTCAAGAGTCATACTTCGTACAGAGAGGCTCTGAAGCAAGTGGAGGGATCCGCATCCCCGTACGAAATACACCGACCGTAAGGTAGATATGGGATAAGGTAATGTAGGTAACCGGGGGGGGGGGGGAGGAAAGTGTAAAGGCTGCCCGTGGACATCAAGTCAGGGACCTGAGGTGGAATTAATTAGGTTCTTCCAAACCGGCTCCAACCTAAAAAGAAACAAGGTGTTGGTTGGCAGGTTTGGGGCCCTGGACTTTGGGAGAGTCGAGGCATCAAACGGACGAGAGAGATCTGCAAATCTTCTTCTTCTTCTCCTTTGTGTTGGGGCTTTTTTTTTTTCTGCCAGTTGTAATCTACCTGCTTTCTAAGGTTGACTTTTTGGCCCCGTCGTGGAGAAAATCATGGTGAGGCTACCTTAATTGTGAGGGAGAATAAAAGAGAGAGACTTTTGTCCGTGGGCATTGTTAATTTCATTTCTGCCAAAAATCATTTCCAGAGATACTTTGGACGAGATATATAATCGGCTTTCTGTTTAATTGATTACTCTCTGGATTGGGTATATCCTCCAACCGTTGAAAAAAAAAAAAAAAAAAACAGGACACGATTATGAGGATTTGGTGAGTATGGTGCCTATACGTGGTACAGTGTAGTGTAGTTTGCGATTGCCCACCCATCTGCGCATCATCGCCCCTAAGAGGATCCAGATGTACCTTTTGGTGTCCAAGGTACCTTTGCCTCGCCTTGCTGTGAGGTGAGGTGCCTGCCTCTCAGACGGGGAGTGGCAGCTGGTCGTTGCAGAGGATCTCCAGCTAAGAGGGGAAAAAATCCCAACCCAGACCAGAGGCAGGAAAGGCCCCAAGGGAAAGTTCCCCCCTCCACTCCCTCTTTCCCTTCCATTTCATTCGTTACCCACACCCTACCCCCTCTCATTGTGAAGGTACTTAGATACTCGGGTACTTCCAATCACGCCCCCCCCCCCCCCCTTCCCCCTTCACTCTCCCGTCCTTCTCTCTACTGTGTGTGTGTAGAGACTCTCGGTCAGGCCCAATCACGATGTGTCTGGATCCCATTCGGTACTTGCCTAACCTTGCCGGTGACTGATACTTGGCGTCCCGTTGCTTCTGAATGGATGCTGAGAGAGGAAGTGTGAAGGTGTCCGCCCAACCCAACTCGCCTTTCGTCGAATCGTGCCTGCCAACTCCTGACTCTTGCGTGCCTGCCTTTGCTCTCGTCCTCGCCGCCTTCCAATTCTGATTACATCATTCTAGTGCTGCGATATGTGGGCAGTAAACGGGCGACGCGAGCAACGGCGACAAGTCATGGTTACACAGAGCACGCTTCCCCTCTCTCGCGCGCGACCAACGGCTGAGGTTGTCTCTCTTTTGTGTGTTTGAGGGGTGAATTTTGCTTCTTTGCTCTCCTTTCTCTCTTCCTTTTTTGCTCCTCGGATGCCAAGAAACCAGTCGCGATACCAGACTCGGGCAGATATCCTCAACCTTTGGCTTTTCTTGCCCCCATCAGACCAACATGATCACGAGAACAAGCCAAGCAGTCTCTCTACTTAACCATGCTACCTCATTTCTCGGCCGTTTTGACCGCAGAGAAAGAAAGAGAAAAAATTCCCATCCTTCTCTACATTCGAGCCTCCGGTTGTTAGACCGTTGAGTAGGAAAAAAGACTGTGACTGGCTGGACCACGCGCAATAAGGTTACGTCCCCAGACTCGTCTCGTTCCAGCCGCGTCAAGTTGCACATACTTATGGCTTTAGACGGGAGCTCAGTCCTCGACTCAACCACCACCACTATTGCAATCATCTTTCTTTCTTCCGGATCCGATTCTGGCCTATGACCTCCCATCCCTGACTAAGAAACAGGTTCCAACTCGTCACCTTACCGCAATCACGGCCTCCTGGCTTCAACTGCATGGATGCAGGTGGCTAACAACCCGAACACTCTTGCTATCAGGACTGCCAGAAGGCTCCCATCCTCCCCAATGCACAGTACCAAAAGACTCTATCTCACCAAGTATCGGCCACAAAGCTCATCTCTTCCACCGTCGCGGCGGGCGAGTTGTCAGTATCACAGCTGCAGGGCGGGAAGGTGAAGGACAGTCAACGGACCAGCTCCCGGAAGTGGGGCTCTTCTTCTGCCAAACAATCGTCTGGCCATGTCAGAAAAGCAAAGCGTCTTCCGCTGCGCTTGGCTCCTTTTGCGGCCCCTCGACTCCAGACCATCCCCGTCCCTCCCACCTGGACCATGCCACACTGCTTCTTTTCCAATGTCTCTGCAGCAGCACCCGGCCTAGACGTGTCGCAGACGTGCCGCACCTTGTACCAGCTGGCGGCGCTGCACGCCCAAAACGCACTGCACCGATTGACAGATGCTGCAAGAACCGAGAAGGATAGACAGACGGAGACACAGACAGACAGACAGCCTTCAGGCACCGCGTAGCAGATGCAGACACAGACACAGACAAATCCAGAGAAGGCTTCATCAGATTATGCCTGGTGCCCCACTGCCCGCCGCGTACCTTGGCCGCCAAAATAGCACATCCGTTTCAAGTGTGGACGGCCCAGCATACAACAGACGGGGAGGGGGGGGGCCTTGACCTGGATCCGTCGGGCCAATCTTTGTTCAACATGTCTTTCTGCTTTCGCACCGACTTCTCGCCTCGCCCTTGTTGCTTTTCGATTTGATGAGCCTGAAGAAAGTCTTCCTACTTACCGCTTCTTCGATGGCCACTAGAAAACCCCGGCAGCTCTGAAAGACCACCGCTCTGTCATCATATAATCATGAGCCATCGCCACCGCGCATGCCATTCAATATATGTATGGCCAAGAGTCGTGGCAGAAGGGCAGATTGTCCTCCTGGCTCCCCATGTCGCCAGCCGTCCAACGCCTTCACCAAGTGGCCGCTCGCACTACTATCTGATGGCGTGGGTGCTCGAACTAGTGACACTCCCCGGGGGGGCCGCCAGATGGAAGAGGCGCAGGCTACTTTGTACTGGCGTGCGCGTGGCTGACAATCCAGTCTCGGTCAAGTCGATCGCCTCACTAGCACATCACCCGTTCATTGGCGCTGCATCTTCGGGGTCTTCTCAGCCCAGCAGGGGTTGGCAACACCATCAGCCAGATCCTTGATCCGGTAAACAGCTCCAATGGTTCGAGGCAGCTGGTGTGTGTACCAAAGCTGCGCTGGATCTATTTCTTTTTTTCCTCTTTCGTATTCCACGCTTCGATAATGGCAGTCGTCGAACAAACCTCATCATCAGCTGGTCCAGTCTGGAGAAGATACGAGAGCTATTTCTCGCCCGGTCCAGCTCGGAGGATTGATCGTTGTTCTGAACTTTTGCTGTCGACGTTCGTGCAGACGTTGAATCGTTGCTTCCTATTATTGGCCCGTGTCTGCAACGATCACCGCCAGGGTTCCGAGTGGCAGTACAGAGTACGGAGTACTATCGACAGTATGAGTTGAATCCTGTCGCATCAACCACTTCTTCTAGAACTTGAGCGGAAGATACATTCCTCACAGGTAAAGAATTCTTTCAGATTCATAAGGAACAAGAATCAAGTCGGCAAGGGAACTTGTGCGCGGTCAATCGTCTGTTTCTGGTTCCATGCCTTACGCCTTGGGCCACACACCCCGCTTCCCCAGCCAAAGTGGCTGACAGGCAGACAGGGTCATAAATATGCAGAAACGAGGCAGCACTGCTGTGAGAGCTGCCAAAGAACACGAAGTAATACACAAATACCGCGCAGCGAAAGCAGCGAGGCTAGCAGCCGACTGTACGACGCCGCATCAGCTCGAAAAAACCCTGGCACGCCTGATTCTCAAGAGCAAGAGAGAAGGGCGCACAGTCGAGTGTTCTTTTCAGGACGCTGCGCAGGGATCGCCGCCCGGCTTGATGTTGCCAATCACTCCAGGGCAGGGGGTGCAGCACAAAGAGTTGGCTACGACACCTGCATTGCGATGAACATAAGGCTGTGAGAAGATATCTCTCCCTCCATCGGTGGAAGGTCATCTAGAAAAAAGCAGACGAAACGAGTGCGAATAATGTCAAGCAACCCACCTACGTGCCTACCAACCTTCTGCTCGCTGTTATGCTTCCACGCGAGAATCCCTGGCGTAGGGCGGCTCACTCGATCACCTCTGCTCTCCATCCCAGAATACCTTGTTTCTCCCTCTGGTCTTGGTGATCTAGATGGCACCGTTGCTTTTATGCGCTCGGGGTCATGGGATTGCCACCGTGCTCTCCTCTACCTTTGCATGTGTATTCCGGCTAGCGGCAGGGCCATTGACATGAGATACACGTTGAAAAGGACGAAAGCAGAGACTTGGTATGGGCTTAGAGTTTGCGCTTTCGTTCCCGCTTGAACGGCACGGTTGAGGGTCATACAGCCGACAGATTCGAGCACAATCTGTTGCCTCTGTCGCCGCTACCGACCTTTCTCTCTTCAAGGTGAAAATGATGCTCTAACTCGGGACCTTGAGGGCAATGTGAAGCGTCTCGGTATGCCTGGGCAGGATTTGGGATGCCAACAGCCCACTTACCTTGGATGATCTGCGGGTCCCCCCCAAAGTTTCGAACTGCCAGTGCGGGAGCTAGCTACGCACAGAAACCTGTTGACATGACGATCAAAAACACTCATCAACAAGAAAGAAACCAAAAAAAAAACAAGCAATCACTCAATCACTCAACATCGATCGACCTTTGTGACCAGCATAAGAGGGCTGCTGGTCTCCATCGGAGGACATGACGGTATGAGTTTGGACTTTGTCATACCGGGCAGAGAGGCTCGATTGGCAAGGGAATGGCGTCACCAAAGACACCACCCATATCTGACGACACACACCCCTGGCTGAGATCGATGGGCATCGGGGACGATTGTGGCCAGTTGCCATCGCATCACCTTATTCAGCCAAGCATACGCATCGCGCACTACATTTGACAGCGGTCGAAAGAGCCGCGAATTTCTGCTTGCGTGCTTAGATGGCGACAGCTCGCAAGTTGCAACTGCGTCAAAGACAGAGGAAACAGTGTCCAACAGACGGTAGCTCTTTTGATACGGTCGAAGATGTCTGATCGTCGCACTCAAATCGACGACCCGGGAAGGGCAAGGGGGCCAGACCCCCGCCCCTTGTGGTGGGTCCGGACCATGCTCGAGTCCCGGAGCCAGCTCCCCCATCTCATTGTGTGTGGGTATCCCATGCCATGAGCCTCCATCAAGCATCGCGACAAGAAGCTGGCGCTTGCGTGTGTCAAATATGCCACATTCAAAGCACCGCCAGGATAAGAACAGCAAGAGACACCTGCCAGTCTTTCTTCTATCAAGATGGAGCTTTTCACTCGTGTGCTGCGCAGGGGACATCGAGGAAGAGAGCATTCGTGCCCCTGAGGATCTCACTGGAAGGTGACGGAAGCGTATGCGTGTCGCTGGGACGAGTGTCCACTACCCGACAAGGCCAACCCCTGGTCAAAGGGACCGACCCAAAGAACGGACAATGATTGGCTTTCAAACTCGGTAGGCGGCACCTACTGGGGCGAGGTGTGTCTCTTCGTCTCATTTGGGGCCCGTCTCTCTTCTCACTCTCAGTCGCCAGTTTCTTTTTTTCTGCCCAGCAAAGACGGTGGCTTGAGATTACCACCGGGCCTTGGAGGAAGCCGTTCTTTGGCTCATTCGGGTGGCAGTCCAGCCCGTGGCGAAAAAGAACCACTTGACAGCAAACTGCAAACGGTTGCAAACTGCAAACGGTTGCCAGCTGATAATCGAATGTGTATACTGGAAGAGACGGGGTGTGAAGGTCGGATGTCAGGTCAGCGCATCTTGTGTTGGGCGATGTGCGATGTAGGTGTCTTCCATGAATTCGCGACTGATGAGGATACCGGGTCAGGCGCAGGAATTGACTGTCACTTGTTTTTCTTCAGATCCCGACGCCCTTCCAGAAGGCGTGAAGAATATAGATAAGCGGTAAACACTATCGCGGTACGGATAGAGGCCTTGAGTGCGGCTCTCTCCTTTGCACCAAATTCGCGACATCGGCATGCGTGCCGACGTGCGATAACCACGGGGCACCGGGTAGTTTGGCCGGGTGTTTTTGATCAGCCTCCATCAAACTCGGGAAACGCGATGTATAGCTGGCCGCCGGCCGCTCTTCTGACAAAGGATTGCACTTTGAGAAACATGATGGGTATTCCCAGAGCCCATAGGTACTCCGTACACGGTACTCATAAGGCCGCCCAGTCTCCGAACAGAGTTGTCTGATGGCCACACATCGTTCGCTGACTGACCACCTGCTCGATACTCTGCCTGATCCGAAGGGACCTGGCATCTGCTCCGTGCAAAAGAAAGGGCAGCTTGTCAAACCCGGGTCCGCGTTGGTCATGGAGTACCCCTGCTCGTTAGTTTTGACCTTGACAGGGGTCTGGGGCGGGTTGCGGGCTAAGCAGAGCGCGGTGGTGGTCGACCGTCGACGTTACTGCAGGACTTTCGGACCTTTGGACTCTGGTAAGGACAGACTGACAGACCAGCCGACTGCAGGTCTCGTGGCTGCGACTTACTCTACAGATAGACTACCGGTACGGCTACGCGACCTATGCCTTGTTGTCTGGGCCTTGGACGGGGATCGAAGGCGTCCTCACAACTCTGCATGAAGAGGGTATTGACACCAAGTTCGCCATACCAACGAAACCACCTAGCAGGCAGCGAAAACTCAGGGTGGCAAGAAGCTGGCTTCGTGCTCTCGTTGGCAGCCAAAGAGGCTAGAGATCTTTGTCTTCATTTTGGTGAGATGAAGATTGAACAAACCCTGGGAGCCCGCACTCTACAACACATAGGTACTGCAATGTGTATCCATACGGATACCAGAGCAGCACCTCTCATATAGACCTAGTAATACGCCTGGCTCAGGAATGGAGAGGTGGGGATGAGCACAGACAAGCGCCTGCAGGGCATCCCAAAAGGGGACCACGCCAATGAGCTTGGCTCTCCCGACCGGTACGGAGCTCAGAGTGGCCCAAGTCTTTTTGCTCGTAAGTGCTGTGTGTGTGTGTGGCAGCGTTGGGAAATGGGAGGAAGTGGAGAGAGGGCCGGTGACAGTTTCACCATGTGCTATGAGCCATCTGGTGTTTGCCTGGCAGTGGCAGCCCTCTCTGCCGTCTTCTCGTTGCTGGCCGGCTGTGCTTCTTCTTGAGTGGCAGAGTGGCTTGATCGATTCCTTGTTTCTTCTTGTTTGGAGAAACAGCACCACCACCAGGAGGCACTGCGACAAATGGAGAGACGGGGAGAGCGTGTGAGAGATGGACGGGAAGCATAATGGCTTGTTTGATGGATGTCAACTTTGGTGTCCCATCATCCCGTCCATGGTCCTGCGAGGCGCTGCTGGGACAGTCAGTCAGTCTGGCAGTCTGGCTGGCTGTGGCTTGTGTTCAAGGAAATCCCTGGGATCTGCAGAGCCGGGGGGTAAGGAGGGAGGGGGGTCCAATTCCGTATCTGTCGTGCTGCAACGCCAGGTATCGACATGGTGCATGGGTTTTACAGTCATCGACTTTGCCGCCACTTTGCGCGGGTTCGGGTGCCTTGCCTTGCCTTGTCCTTTTTCTTCTTTTTCCCCTTGGCCCTGGACTTGGGTGCTTCTTTTTTTTTTCTTCCTGCTCTCCCGCCCTTTCTCTTTCTTCTTTCTGCTTCTTGTTACCGAGTATGGAGTAGCGTGCTGCGTACCTAGGCAGAGTCTCCTGCAGTTCTCCCACTTTCCCCCCTCTGTTCCTCGGTGCCCAGGCCAGGGGGCCAAGAACCTTTGGCCTAGGTACGGTTGTTGCTGTAGCCAGCCCATTTCATTCTACTGCGTAGTGAAGGGGAGACAGACTGGGGTCCCCATCGTGGGCAGCGGCCCATTGGGGATTCTTTGGTCAAGAGTAGACGGGATAGTGCAGTCTGTCTCCCAGCCGAGCCGAGGTTGGCAGGTAACACACTGCGGATTTTGCGATGGGAGGTGTTTATGCTCAAGAATTATGCTTGTGTGTGTGTGTGTGTGTGTGTGCGTGTATGTGCGTAGGGATACGTGTGTAAGAGGAAGAGATGGAAGACGAGGACATGAGTGAGAAAGAGTAAAGAGAGGGCGCGCGTCAAGTCGCGCACAGAGACCACCACCGAAGCCCTCTGCTCTCTCTCTCTCTGACGACGACGCATCGTTTTGATCCGAATGAAATACTTGCCTACACCAACTTACATCACGGGAGGTTTTTCCTCCTTGGTGGCGTATGCAATCACCACGGAGGCTGTCTGAATAGTTGCTGACATGACCCGACCCGACCGACCCTTTGGCTTTGCCTTTGCCTCTCTGCCTTAGCCCGGCCGCGCCAGTACATTAGGTAGACTCGCCTTGCCTTACATACCTACCTACACTACAGACTCACGGGATGGACGGGTAGTAGGGCGAGATGGGATATGTACAGATACATGATGTCTGCAGTGCCCGAAGCGTGTTGGAGAGCGTCAGTACGTACTTTTGCGTTGCCGGTCTGCGACGGATCATTCCAATCCAAGCAAATGTCTTTGGGGGACCACCACCACCACCACCACGGCCACCACCCACCGATCTCCCATCAACTGGACCTAACGCTCAAAAGCCGGTGGTGCACATGCTCCACTCTACTGCGTACATGCCTACCTGCCTACGGAGTACCTACCAACCTAACGCACCTGGGCTGGGTCCCCCATTCCTTTTCGGCAGGTGCTGGTGAAGCAGAATAATCCCAGCTTTCGGCGCCGGATCAACGTCGGGTTACCTTTTTGACGACATGCGACCCCCTCGTGACCTATCCTAACAAACTGAACGATTCCACGGAATAGACACTGAGAGAGAAGCAACGTCTATGACATTGTCCTAGTTGTAATTGGACAAGCACTTCCTACCTCTGCGTATCTAGCAACCCCTAAATGCTACCGGCCACGACCTTCTTGTGCCGAGCATCTGCCAGATCAATCAGGAACCCCGCCATCGCAGCCGTCACCGTCACCGTCCTTCGACGACCCCTCCAGACCCGAGCTCGATTCTCAACGTCCACCAGCACAATGGCTCCCCCCGCTGCCGCCCTCGACTTTGTCGACTTTGTCAACGCATCTCCTACTCGTAAGCACCCATTGACATATTGTTTGCGGCCGTGGACGGCTTCTTTGTCTTCAACCTTTACCCCAGCAGCAGCAGCAGCAGCAGCAGAAGCAGCAGCAGAAGCAGCAGCAGAAGCCAGCTAACCGTGCCCCTCGCCCGCAGCCTACCACGCCTGCGCGACCGCCGCCATCCGCCTCGAAAAGGCCGGCTTCACAAAGATCAAGGAGCGCGACTCGTGGAACTCGGCGCTGCGACCGGGAGGGAAATACTACCTCACCCGCAATGGCTCGTCCATCGTCGCCTTCGCCATCGGCAAGAAGTGGAAGCCGGGCAACCCCGTCGCCATGATTGGCGCCCACACCGACTCGCCGACCCTGCGCATCAAGCCCGTCTCCAAGAAGAGCAACGTCGGCTTCATGCAGGTCGGCGTCGAGACCTACGGCGGCGGCATCTGGCACAGCTGGTTTGACCGCGACCTCAGCATCGCGGGGCGCGTCCTCGTCAAGGACGCCGAGGGCAACTTTGTCCAGAAGCTCATCAAGGTCGACAAGCCGCTGCTGCGAATCCCGACGCTCGCTATCCACCTCGACCGGAGTTCTACCTTTGACCCGAACAAGGAGAACGAGCTGTTTCCCATTGCCGGACTGGCTACGGCGGAGCTGAACAAGGGCAGCGCCAAGCCTGAGGGCGACGAGGCCGAGGAGGACTTCAAGCCACTCAAGGCCATGACGGAGCGTCACCACCCTCACATTCTCGACGTCATTGCCTCCCACGCCGAGGTCGAGCCAGAGGCCGTCATCGACTTCGAGCTCGTCCTCTACGACGTGCAAAAGTCCTGCCTCGGTGGCCTCAACGACGAGTTCATCTTCTCGGCCCGCCTCGACAACCTCAACATGACGTACTGCTCCATCGAGGGCCTCATTGCCTCGGTCCGCGCCGCCGACGTGCTCGAAAACGACTCCACCATCCGCCTCGTGACCTGCTTCGACCACGAGGAAATCGGCTCCACCTCGGCCCACGGCGCCAACTCGAACCTCCTCCCCGCGGTCCTGCGCCGCCTCGCCTCCCTCCCGGGCAGCCGCGACACGGCCTCGGACGGGTCGTACGTGGCCGTATCCTCCCACGATGGCGGGGACTACGAGTCAACGGCCTACGAGCAGACGCTCTCGCGGTCCTTCCTGGTGTCGGCCGACATGGCGCACTCGGTGCACCCCAACTACGCGGGCAAGTACGAGTCCTCGCACCAGCCGGCCATGAACGGCGGCACGGTGATCAAGGTCAACGCCAACCAGCGCTACGCGACCAACTCGCCCGGCATCGTGCTGCTGCAGGAGTGCGCGCGCCTCGCGGGCGTTCCTCTGCAGCTGTTCGTCGTGCGCAACGACTCGCCGTGCGGAAGCACCATCGGTCCCATGCTCAGCGCCAAGCTCGGCGTGAGGACGCTGGATCTGGGTAACCCGCAGTTGAGTATGCACTCTATTCGCGAGACGGGCGGTAGCGCGGACGTGGAGCACGCTATTAAGCTGTTTGAGAGCTTTTATGAGCGGTTTGGGGAGTTGGAGGAAAAGATTCTTGTCGATTAAGCAGTCCCCGTTTGGGGGGACGCCAACTGAGGTCATTTCGGTCATTAGCTTGGCTTTGACGAGGCGGGCGTAGTTGTAGTCGGTTTGTAGTTGTAGTAGCGAGTTGCCTTGGAGTTGTTTGGGTGATTGGGACGAAATACAAATGTTAATTGAGCAAAGATGATCTCATTTCACTGGTGCTACCTTGGGGATTGTGCTCCTTCAAGAGATATGAAAGTGAACATGATGAGTGAAAAATGAGAGATTTCGTATAGTATGGCGTTCTTGCTTTTCGAAAAGGGTGGTTGAGATGAAAGGAGGAAAGAGGTACTTGACTGGCTGGATGACTGGTCGTTCCTTCCTACTCCCATCTTATCTACGGATGGGATCTCTGATGGGATCTCTAATGGGACCCTGACGGCTCCGCTGGCTTTTTGCTCGCAGCCTCCCTATATTTTTCTCGTCTACTACTTTGTCTTCTCTGCGAGGTCATGCAAGCGTTCACCTTTCAAAATCGCGACCAACCTCGACCTGAATCTTACTCAACAAACCCGACTTCGCCTCGAACGCAGCATATGCTCAACATATGCTCACCCGACTACATCGAAACCCGGACCATCGACTTGAAGTCCTGATTTGAGTTCCAGAGCACCAGAGCATTGTCTTTCTTGGAACAATTCTGGAACGCCTGCTCGCGATTTCGAGATTTCAACTGCGGCAGCGTTGAAGCTCTCACGATACAGTTGAGTTGTCACGAAAGGTTCGTTAGTACTTTCTTTTGTGTCTTCTTCTCAGCCCTTCGTTCATCTTCGCTTTCGTCTCTACCTTTCACGATTCGAGATCGAGGCATATTCTCCGCTGGCGACTGTACTGGAAGAACGTCTGCTTCGCACTCTGGCGATTTTCCTCGCTCCTAACTCGACTAAACATACCTCATACCTCTCAGAGGACTACAAATACTTTCCTCTTCCTCCTCTCACACCTCCTAACTTTCACCTTCCTCACTCTCACCATCACCACTATATCCTTCCACTGCCTGGTACGATATCCCATAAACTTGACAGAGGACTAGAAATATCTTCCTCTGCCTTCGGGCCTCTTTCTCCAATCCTCTCACCAACCACACCGATTCATTTCGCTGTCTGGTAATACATCTCGTACCTTTCACCTACCTAGACCATCGCCAGGTCATCCCGGACTGCGAATCACTTTCTAGACGCTGACCTCACTCTTATATCAGACCTTCTGGCGACAAAATCAAACATCTTCTCAGGGAGGAGCGTCTGAATCGATTTCTTCAACCGACACCTCTCCTTCGGTGAGCATCAAAACCGCTTTTATTTTCAAGACTTCTGCCACACCTGCCCTAGAACAACACCACTCTACAGAATTTGAGATCCTGGCAGAACTGTCCCTCGCAATACTGAACTTCTTCATGCGATCGACCAGTTCATAGCTGACTTTGATATACCTCGAAAGACAAGCAAAGCTCGAGTTACCCTGCACTGTGGTGAGTTTTTGCTCCGTACTCGCACTTTCCCCGTTCCCTCCCTGAGGTTCCACCTTCACCTTCACTTTCTATATTCCAAGCACCCTCCAAATCCAATCCCGTTTCCCTTCATGT